AGAGAGGCTCAAAATCACTTTCCAGAACATTCTCGTTCACCATTCCTGGCTGGTTGAACGATCTTCCCTCCCCTATCCGGAATGCTTAATCCCTGACAATTTTCAAGCGATAGCTGAAAACTTATCTCTTTCGAAGCTCCTTGACTTCATCATAAAAAAAAAAAAAGTCTCTCTCTTTATTTATTCCTTCTCTTTCTAGCTTGTACTTATTTGAACAATGCCTAAAACTTGGTATTATAAGCACTTCCTGTGTCTGTTTGCCTTTTTAAGAAGAATCGCTTTATGTATCCCCCAATTGTAAGTCGCTTTGGATAAAAGCATCTGCAAAATGACTAAATGTAAATGTCATCACCGCCGCTGTTTAAATGCCGAGCGCGCCTCTCCACGGGAGACCGGTGTCTTCCCCGTGCATGCACGCTGGTGTCCTCGTGGGTCCAGGAAGGGTGCGTAGAGGGACTCCCGCGCCGCCAGAGCCGTGAGCTGCCGGACCCGTGGTCTGGACGAGAACCGCACCCGTTATACGGCTGATGGGCCAAGATGCCAGGCCGTTTATCCCCAGGAAGCGTCGTGGGCCAAGGAAGACGAAACCGCTCAGAAGAAGCCGCCGCCCCTCATGCCCTGGTCCAAGAGGGGAGCGCGTGCGGCCACCGGACTCCACCCCTTACCTGGACTCTTCCTTCCTGAACACTACCTGTCCTTCACAAACCCCGCAGCACGACGAGGACACCAGATCTCCTATTTATTTTGAACACCCTTTCCCTTTGAACACTCTTATTCCCTGTTTTGGTTATTTTTGTTATTTTCTGTTAAAGGGGTCATATGATGCAGCTAAAAAGAACAGTATTTGGTGTATTTGGTGTAATTAAATGTGTTGATGCGGTTTAAGGTTCAAAAAACACATTATTTTCCACATACTGTACATTATTGTTTCTCCTCTATGCCCCGCCTTTCTGAAATGCGTAGATTTTTACAAAGCTCATCGGTCTGAAAAAGCGATGTGTGCTGTGATTGGCCAGCCATCCAGTGCGTTGTGATTGGCCGATTACCTCAAGCGTGAGACGGAAATGTTACGCCCCTTGCGGAAACAACAATACTACAGCGAGAATAAAAGTTACGCCTTCTTTCTTTGCGTGAATATTTGGGCGGCGTTATGCAAATCTTCCCACATAGTGAGGTAGACATGTGTGGGGCGTGTTAGAACGAGCCGTTTTAGGTAGATGTGGCTGACTCTTAACTTTTATAAAGAATATTTCTTTGGATTTGAGACTTTAGTCTTTGCAAATCCAGAAACGCCCCTGTATGCAGAGTTTCTATTTAGGCGTGTTTGCAGCATTAAGCAATGCAGTGCTGAAATTTGCATGCTCACGAATCCTCTCA